GAGGTTTACTGGTTTAGAGCAAATTTGGTGTCTGTGTGCTAATTGGTGACCGTATAAAACCACGATACCTTCCTTCTCTCAAAAGCCGGATCATGACTGCCGGAAAGTTGCAAAATACACTTTGTATTCTGCTCTTCTGTTTGAGTTTCGAAGGTAAGTGAAATGTGTGAATGAGTTAAACTCTTCGAAAAGTTTTCAGCCATAGAAAAGGTCAGGAATATTTTATACCATAATTTAGACAATCTTTACCAAAATATGCAATAAATTTTGCTCTCTAAAAAATAAGCTTGCGCGACTCTATAAAATACATACATTTAATAGCAAACTCAACTGTCGTAGGGGGAACAACGTCAAATCCCTACCAAATACTGCTTATTTGAGGCCCTTAAAGAGAATCCCCACTGGAATACACCTCTGAACCCAAAAAAAGATAGCATCATCTGAAATGTCATGATTCCTTAGGACAATCGTCTCACAGAACAGCAAATTTTACGGTCGAACACTACCTTGGAATCCTGGACGACTAAAGAGTGCCGAATGTGCAGAAGATAAATGACCAGTATATTGTGTACCTAAAGTAACGATCACATACAATGAGGATTGCGTGGGTCATGGAGTCGATCCTATCTAAAGCCGAGGATATCTGATTGAAATAAAGAGCAAACCGCATTCCTCCAAACAGTCTGAGTCATCCATCTCATCTGCCTGACCTATTCAAGCACAAAAGCGTGTTATGGTAAAATCTATCCGAGAAAATTAACTTAGAACTATGATAGAGTTACCAGAAATTTTTATTAATCTATTGCTTTTCAACACAGATAGCGGGATATTGACAAAACCTACCGTGAATTTGAGGCAGCATGTCAGATTTCTTTTGGTACTCCACTAAACGTTTGCAATGCAAGGTTACTTGAGTTGTTGTTCTGAACACAGAGCTATCCGAGTCTGGTAACATCTGTAACCATACTTGATTAGCCGTGAGTTGGCCTCATCATTGTGTCCCGTATAAAAACCCACAGAATAATGGATACATTGTTCTTCTAAACTGGTTAATCTTACAGTCCTCGAATCAAGGGATAAATGGTAGATATTAAAACATAAGCCCGGGAAAATTCTAACACTGACCTACACGTACAAGAACGCAAAATTGAAAGATGCACCAGCCACTCTAAGACATGTGTAAGTGCCACGGGTCGCCGATGACAAACATCACGTGATAAAATACATCTGGGGTGACTGAAATGGGGACGCTGTATTTTTGTTTCCACAACTCCAAGCATACAATTCCGTTCAAGTAATCGACTGTCTAGCTGTCCTCCGAATTTGTCTCAGTGTTAAGATGGAATTTGTTAGGGTAAGACTGTTAAGATAAGTGTATGATCCGGAGAGTTTAAGTGCTACAAACGTTCACGTTTCCAACAAACACACTGTCCGGTATTTTTTACCCGCTTGGTAAACTGTTTTGTGGTTTGATATTTTATCCGGTTGAACGAAACTTATTGAACACAAAAACCACCTTGTCAGATGGTTGTCAGGTTGAACGACTGTCATTAGCTGATGAGCGAGCCATGGCCTTTTGTACGCGGCATTTGAGGGGTTCGGATCGATGTCAGTTGACTTGCTGGTGTTAAGTTCATATGAACCGTCAAGGACTAAGTTTAAGCTGACTTGTAACCAAGTGAAGTCGATCTATACCAAAATGCCGAAAAGCACTGTTTAGCCACCATTTTTGTTTTGAATCGCGATTAAAGCGCATGTCACGAAGCTCCAGAACTCCACTTGAGCGCCAAAAGCTCGACTGAAGACTTAGTCTGCAAGTACTATACGACCGTCGCTGGGCAGGGATTTCTTGACTGGTACTAAAAACTCAAATGGGGGAATCCTTTAAGTTGCTTAATCATATATGGTATTCTACCTGCTGCATGATGTGATACTATGGAACAGCGATTATATCTTCACTTTCTCCCTTGTGTCGACTGATCAATAACCTGGGGACAAAGTTTAACTCCGGACAGAGTGATGCCAAGAAACTAGGTTAAGGACGCATGCTTTTCTGTTGATTTCGGATATCGAGAGATTACGTATCGAATATCTTCGATACGTTGGTGACTTATGGAAAGGTAAATTTCGTGACGTTTTCGACCCAGGCTTACCTGTATGTGAAAGAGTATCAAATCCACTTTTATGCAGTATATGTAGTTTGTCAATCAAGGATGCTAGCTTTGATCGCAATTTCTCCGTTAACTTAGCATGCAGCCACAAAGAGAAACATTCCGAGACAATCATCACGGATAAGCCAATCTTCTGTTTACCTATCCCGTTTAGGCCAGCACACATGACGCGCGTGACAAAAAGTCGATTGCTTCACACTCAAAGACATCGAAATATCTCACGGCAACTGTTTACATTGTTCTCAACCTTGCAAATCGTTCCTTAAATTTAATCCGTGTATTTTTACGTTTTTGAATTTAGTTCTGAACTCCTCAGGTAAATTTTCTGCTATCAGTCCTACCATCGTCACTCTGCTTGCGCTTCATTTGGCGTTTAATGGATATTAAATTTGAGAACTACAAAAAAAGTAGATGGATATATTATTTGTTTGACCTGGGAATTTTGTTCATTTGTTATTGTGTTGAAAAATTCCACCATCTAACTAAACAATCGTATATTAAATCGCTGTATATATGTCTACTTTGAAGTGGCTACTGGTGGTCGTCACAAGCGCAAAATTCCTGCGAGTTTTCACTGCATAATGATGCAAAGTGTCAGGAAGTTCCGACAGATTTGTCCAAAGCTGGCATTTCCCACACTGCAGGCTTCAGTTGATTGGTGGAGGGTTGGTCACGTGACACTAGGGTCAACAGATGTACGCTGGTAAATTCTAAGGTTAATTGCACAACCCACAAGTTAGAACGTGCGGACGATTTCACCAGGTGTTGTTGTGGGATGCAGCATACCATTATTCTTAGTTTGAGATTTCCTCAAAGCCTCAATGACTTGGAGTGGTAGTACCAAGTCCAGTTGTCTTCCCATTGGGATAAATTAAAAAATGAATCATCTTTCACTTGAGTTTACTAATGATGTGGAGACCTTGGTTTCACCAACAAATTTACCGTCATTTATATCGCTACTGAAACATGTTCTCTGGACGGCAATCATATCCAGACCTCACTGGCCGAGAATATACGACCGAGGACTCTGAGTACACTCACAACGGCAAGCACTGACAATGAGCTATGTAGTGTAGTTTAGTATAGGCTCCAAGAGATAATCGGGTTATTCATGGAATACAACTCTGATCTGTTTGCCAAACTTCTTTCAGACTGATGCGTTTGAGAATGCAAGCTTAAGGGGACATCGCAGGAAACGTGCACTACACCAGCCAGTCGCGAAAACTCTCATAACCATTACCCCACACACCCAACAAAATCTACACGTCGATTTTAATAATGTGCATTCTGAAAAAAAAATCACGGAAAATTAAACGGGCCACCAAACACTAGGTTTACGCCCCAAGCTACAGAATTGCAAATGATACTGTCTCTGCTCTTGAAATACGTGAAGCACCCGACAACCACTTCAGGCGATTAGAGTCATAAGATACGCTGATCTACCGAATCAGCGGTACCTGGACTGCCTGTGGATTCACTGAAGAGTTAGTTAGTGTCTAAAGTGGGCACACCACTGTTATTTGAACATGCCACCTTTGCAGTACCAATGACAGCCACGCCAAATCTATGCAGGGTTTAGTGTGTCTCAGCATCATCATCTAAAGGCAAAATAATTGAACCAAAAAACGATACCAGAAATATAGATCTCGTGAGGATACGCAAATGATCCATTCATGCTTACTTGAGGAAGAGAAATTAGATTAGTAATTCACCTGCTGTTCTCATCTGAACACAGGAATATCATTCGTAACACCAACTTACCTGGGTGGGATGCTGATATCTCATGAGACAGTGGATTTGCTAAAGTACCGTTGGGGCATGTAAAAACCCATCCTGAGCTCGTCGAAAGAAACCTAAACATGAGTGCCCTCTACAAGCGGTGGCACTGGTTAGCTTTACATGTGATCCTCTTATTATTGTGTTGCATTGCGTCATATTTTAACACGTTTATTCCTTACCTAGATACGCTACAACGCCCGCAGGTTACCAAGTAAACATAAAGCCGGTGTTATCTGGGATTGCAAACGATATGAGTGGAAACAGAATTTTTTAATTTAAAACTCTGAGCTTAAGTTTTCCAGCCTAAAAACGCTCCATTTCAAAGGGGTACTCAGGTGAGGCTTCCTGACTTTCATTAAAAAACGTTCTACATCATCGCTTTTATGATGCCCGCGTAAACTCCATAACTTCTGCAAGGCAAGTGTGCGTGACACAGAAAAGATTATTTAGACGATCTCTATGGTGACATGATAGAATTATTTTGAGGTACTGGAGGTGGTCATCCATGATTCTAGGGAATACTGTCTTTCGAGCAGATGACCTTCCGCTTGTTTTGAAGGGCAAATCAGGTGTTTTCAGCGCGCACTCTGAATTGCATACACAGCCCAAATTAGTGCAATCGGAGTTTAAAACCTGACACCTAGCCAGGCTGAAGTTTTTGACCTTCCAGCTGCTACTCTGACATATCGCACAGCGCAATGAAGATCAAAATACTTTGGTAACAGACAAAATATCATTTCACTGTACAACTATGAGTACGTAAACGCAGTAGCAGTTGTAGCAGTTGTTACACTACTCACAAATTATAAGCACAAACGAGATTTTCTGAATTATTTTCACGGTGTCATCAGCAGGACAGTGTACTGCACCAACAGCATGCTCGTCGCAAGTTGTCATAGCGGAAAGTTTCCCCGTAAAGAGGCTTAGCTTCGACTGCTCGATATCCATTCAATAATTTCAACGTCTCCGCTCTCTTGCCAAATCCAGTGTAATATCCAGCGCTTTACGTTCGCCCAGGAAACATCATAAACTGTTTTCTGTCTGACAGATGCGGACTTTCGAATCCTTTTGAAATTGAACTTTATTGAGCACCAGTTCAAGGAGGCGAAGAATGTTGGAAAACTGAGAAAGTACCTTCACCAAGTGGTTTGTTCGCAGGTGGGTTTTTTTCAGATGAGCTGTTTGTGATGCTTCACTGGAAAAGGTGTCATCGGTAACGTTAAATATTATTTCACATGAATTGGTTGAAAGTATCAGATAAATGCTTGACGACTAAGCGTTGAGTTTTTGTATTTAGTTCTGTAAGCCTAAAGGTACATTTGTCCGAGAAACCAATAGAATATGGAAGATGGAATATTTTTGTGTGTGACGATAATAGCATGCAGATAACCTCATAGATGTCTAGCATTTCAAAATCTTGAAAATCGCCCATGGTTGACGTTCATGGCTATGTAAAAAGCGGTTTTCTAATCTAAGCAAGCCACCATAAAGCTAGAAAGTCAGCAATCGGAACTCCTCAAGGATGAACTATCTTCGAGGACTAAAACCTAACAATATCCCAACCATCAGCCACTTTTCAAAACAAGTCGTCTCCAAGAGATCATTTTTAGCATACATCATTCCTAATGAATATATATCTGCGATCCTTTCTTTTAGCCTGTTTATTCATTATACATTCATTACACAAATGCGCTTTGTCACAATCTCCCATTTCTGTAAAAAAAACCTCAGATAGAAGAGAAATCCAACTGGTTCAAAGAGTGTAACCTGGAGCGTTACCACGTGCAAAGCGAGCACATAGATGTGGTGATTTTGCTGAACGTCTCATTGTCCGAAACCGGATCTGGCATCCTCAGCGACCTCAGATCACATAACATTAGATCGTTTACGACAAACCGGCATCTAAGTGTCATCTTCGGGCAATGTGCCTCTGCGGTGGATATTGCGGAAGAAGAAATGAGAGGAGGTGTGTTTGCTGTTTGCCTTTCTTTCTCATTTCCTGTCATCTTAGTATGTGTCACGGGGATTTCTGTGACCCAGTAATCTCGTAAGAATGGTTCAAAATGAGGTTTGTTGACGAGCTGACCATGACGAAAAAGTTTATCAGAGACTCTAATGAAAGGATAATCAGTAGGTATCGTGCCACCAGTTATCATTATTTTTAAGCCGAACATTAAAGAAACAATCCGTACCAAAAACCAAATAAATATACGTCTACATATCCCACGACATTGTAAATACTGAGAAATCTCTTTAAGGGAACCAAACTTCTGCTGAGGATGACGAAAATCCTCAGCAAAATGAGGACTGATGTGCAAAAGTACTTTTCCCATTATATCCAAGTCATCACAGTTGAGGTGGACTCAAATTCGTTCGGCAACCTCCCCAACTCTTCAGATACCGATTACTTCTTTCCAAAAGTCAACAAAACTGGCTGGCTAAACATGGTAGGAGAATTTAAATTGTTATCCACTTTACATGACAGTTTATACTTTTAATTAAATGTCCTTAGTGTTTAGTAATGTAAGTTTCACTCATCCAAGCCACAAAAAAGTGCACCTAAACTGCTATACACTGCTATGCATATAAAAGTTAGACCCACTTTCCAACACAATCTTGACCGTACAACCGTTGGTGTAGTTTAATTTTCTATGTCATCCTGGATCATTCACCACCATCAAGTCAGACAACCATAACTATAAATTACGAGGCTTGAATCAGAAACGTTTGTCCAATAGCTCGGGAAGAATTAGGAAATATATAAAGATGCTGGAAGAAGAATGGTACTTTTGCGTCCCTGGTCGTTGATTTAGTCGTAATTATCGCTTCTGCCATGACGTTCCTCAGGGAGTTTATTAGACCAGTCAACACAATTCTGTCACCACGTATGTTAACTCAAACAGAATGTTCGGACTGCAATCTCGCTCTATAATTTTCTAATACTAAGCAGTGAAGCAGTGGAAGTCAACTCTATCCCATTTTAGAAGTGGAAGGGGAGGCAAGTATTTAACCGGAGAAATCTACCTTCCATGGTTCGCCGATCCAGCCCAGAAACAGAAAAAGAATACTGACATCCAGATACCGCGCTGCAGTACGCTCATCAGATAAATCACTGAGTAGTACTATCCCCGCTATGAGAGCAGATAAACGCCACAGATGAATGCAGTTATCTATAAAATTTCAAGCAACATCTAGCGGCCAAGCCTTATTGACAAGTGGATAGTAGGAAAGTCACTTCAATGTTGATTGAGACTGAAGTTGTGTCCGGGAATTAGTTAAAATTCGTAACAAACTTTCCTGAAATAACGTAAGAGGAATGCACTTTAGTCATTACCTTACGAGCAGTGAACAAGTAATTATGATATGTGTTGGGAGATATGAACTCCTAGCAAGCAAGTTCAAACTATTTACGTGTAAGCCAATCACATAGGTTAAGAATGTATACGGATTGGTGGCCAAAGTTTTCTGGTTTTCTTTGGAGACAAACGAAATCCTGATGGGTTTTGGTGTCAATAGAATGTACACAAACTTTCATGAGGCGGACGATTTGGAGGTATTAAGCAGCTTTTACTGACAGAAACGACTCAGATATTGGTAAATGATAATCTGAGGGTGTAAAAATATGTATTAACCTTGATCATTTGGAGTTTGACTGAGTCGTATGCTGTTGAGAGTAGGGTCTAGCAATCAGAACTTCAGTATCTGTTGGTAGTGTGGGGAGATTCGGCTTTTTTATGAAGGTTTCTTTTTGCAAGTGAAATCAGTCTACGCTAGAAAGCCGAGAAGCAACGTCCAGCTATTTCATCCTTATTGAGAACCATCAGCAGTGCGCATCTCACAAACCTCCGGAGAGTCTCGAACCAGCGACCTCTTAGCTAGTAGTTTGAACACTTAGGCGTTCGGCCACGATTGGCTGATGAGCGGTGTGATTGCTCGCACTTAGACAGTAAGACACGCAATTTCCAATAAGTATGAAACAGCTGTACAGTGATTCTCGAATTTTCAGCATATATCGACTTCACTTGCAGGAAGAAATCTCCACAAAAACTCAAATCTCCCCACTCTACCAGCAATTTATAAGTAGCTCAGTGGAAGAATAAACTTCACCCGATGAGTGAAAATTCCGTCCGAGAAATCGTGGCTCAAGGAGCCGGTCAACACTTGTTACCGCGTGATGTGGATCACGTGATTGAAGGACGAGCGGCGCTATATCCTGTCTAAGGGCGAGTTGATCACACTGCTGATCAGCCGCTCGTGGCCGAATGGTTAGGTGTTCAAACTACTAGCCAGGAGGTCGCGGGTTCGAGACTCTCCGGAGTTTCGTGAGATGCGCACTGCTGATAGTTCCCAATAAGAATGAAACGGCTGTACAGTGCTTATCGGCTTTTCAGTATAGATTGCCTTTACTTACAGGGTGAAAATTCAGTGTCTCTTGTTTACATAGAGAACTTCAAACAAAAGGATGTGGTTGCCCTTCTGTCGATAGGAGGCTCGGAGTCTGTTGTTAACAAGCGTCAAAAGTTTAAAAATATTTGCGATTGTCATTGTACTTTATATTTCCTGGATTTCACGTCAAGGGCGTTTAAATTCCTGGAGTGTGTGATACTTAGAATGAGATTTGGAACATATCACACTCTAGGCATTGCAAACTCGTGAATATAGGACTTGCAACATGCAGCCAAAAGCAGGGGGAAACAACTCGTTGTTGGAGCTCGATTAGTTGTCTGCTTGGACTTTCTGGTTAAAACATAAATAAGTTTCTCCTTTGAATAGACGAAATAGTAATCAGCCAATTCGTTGCGAATTTTGAGTTGTATTCGAAAACAAATACCGAAATATCATTAGATATATCACAGTTCAGTCATTACGATCAAGTCTTCCGAAACGTCTGCCGAATTCACAAGATATCCAGTCTCTCTGTTTGTCTTAGAACTATCCACACTGCCGTGAATGTACTGATCTCAAAATTGGTGTTTTCTATAACAACATTAATTTCCATGACTCTACAAATCCACTGACGGGGAATGTATACACCGTTCCAACTAAGATTCAAGTGTTGCTACTGCGTGCGACCAACACCCTTCGAAAAAAATAGCGACCTCTTAGCTAGTAGTTTGAACACTTAGGCGTTCGGCCACGATTGGCTGATGAGCGGTGTGATTGCTCGCACTTAGACAGTAAGACACGCAATTTCCAATAAGTATGAAACAGCTGTACAGTGATTCTCGAATTTTCAGCATATATCGACTTCACTTGCAGGAAGAAATCTCCACAAAAACTCAAATCTCCCCACTCTACCAGCAATTTATAAGTAGCTCAGTGGAAGAATAAACTTCACCCGATGAGTGAAAATTCCGTCCGAGAAATCGTGGCTCAAGGAGCCGGTCAACACTTGTTACCGCGTGATGTGGATCACGTGATTGAAGGACGAGCGGCGCTATATCCTGTCTAAGGGCGAGTTGATCACACTGCTGATCAGCCGCTCGTGGCCGAATGGTTAGGTGTTCAAACTACTAGCCAGGAGGTCGCGGGTTCGAGACTCTCCGGAGTTTCGTGAGATGCGCACTGCTGATAGTTCCCAATAAGAATGAAACGGCTGTACAGTGCTTATCGGCTTTTCAGTATAGATTACCTTTACTTACAGGGTGAAAATTCAGTGTCTCTTGTTTACATAGAGAACTTCAAACAAAAGGATGTGGTTGCCCTTCTGTCGATAGGAGGCTCGGAGTCTGTTGTTAACAAGCGTCAAAAGTTTAAAAATATTTGCGATTGTCATTGTACTTTATATTTCCTGGATTTCACGTCAAGGGCGTTTAAATTCCTGGAGTGTGTGATACTTAGAATGAGATTTGGAACATATCACACTCTAGGCATTGCAAACTCGTGAATATAGGACTTGCAACATGCAGCCAAAAGCAGGGGGAAACAACTCGTTGTTGGAGCTCGATTAGTTGTCTGCTTGGACTTTCTGGTTAAAACATAAATAAGTTTCTCCTTTGAATAGACGAAATAGTAATCAGCCAATTCGTTGCGAATTTTGAGTTGTATTCGAAAACAAATACCGAAATATCATTAGATATATCACAGTTCAGTCATTACGATCAAGTCTTCCGAAACGTCTGCCGAATTCACAAGATATCCAGTCTCTCTGTTTGTCTTAGAACTATCCACACTGCCGTGAATGTACTGATCTCAAAATTGGTGTTTTCTATAACAACATTAATTTCCATGACTCTACAAATCCACTGACGGGGAATGTATACACCGTTCCAACTAAGATTCAAGTGTTGCTACTGCGTGCGACCAACACCCTTCGAAAAAAATGGTAGTCGTTTTGGATCAATACTTGTCACGGGGACAATTCACCAGCTTGGTCTCATTTAGCAGTTTCACAGCAGATCAAGCTGCTGTTCAATCATTATCGAGAAAAAATAATTATTAAGGCAAAGTAAAGAAAGGGAGAGATGACCAGATGCTTTTAAACAGGATTCAAAAACCTATGCGTCAGTTTTTTAAAGAAACGCCCAGTGTAAAAAAATACCCTTTGTACTTCATAAAGTTAGATCTTTATTTTGTAACACTGGTGTCGGCGTTTTTTGCCTACTTTGTGCAGCACCGCGGCATGTTGTCAGCAATTCTGAGGGGCACTTCGAAATACAAACAAGTGAGTTGAATTAAGCATTCCTCTAACTGCCTATGTGCGCGTTCACCATAATAAAGACTTCATAGGGAATAAAGCGTTCTTCAAATTAGGAAAGCTCTATTTGTACTGCTCGAGTTCCAAGCACCTGAGTCCAGTGGTTAGATTTTTTGTACATTCACCTTGGGGTGTGTTGTTATAAAATATATGTGAAACATGCTATGGTATTTGAATAGACTTTATCGTAAGTCATTTTGACAATATATTTATTTGCTAAACAGCTGTGTGACTCCAGCATGCGAGGACTCACTAGCGTAGGGTTTAAAAGCAAACTAAACAATTGGTTTGCGGTTTCCAAAAGGCTTTTGATTTCCCATTAAAGGCTGAAACAGTCCCATCTATTCTATCTCGTTGTTGGCTAGAAATATTGGGTTTGATTCAGAATACTCTATAAATTTGAACTGCTTGGTCTATCTCGCGTCTGATTTGCCACCCAGTGAGGTAGTCACTTACGTTGTTAGAGCCGGTCTATGGGCCGATTTCTACATACGTTAACAATGCGGGTATCAGTCACGGAAAATACGAGTGGCATATTCACTACGCATCAAATGTAAAGTCATCTCGCCTGAAGGCAGTAACACCGATATTTAAGTTGGGCACACATTGAATCCACAAGCACTTGTTTGGCTGGATAAAATAGTGGATGGTTGTCTACTTCTTCTCAAGTTCCGTATACAAGAGCCAAACCGTAGTTTTAAAGTCGGATACTTAACATGAATGACCTTCCATGATTTTCACGTCCACGACAATGATCTTATGCATTTGCATTGGGTTGGTATTTGCAGCTGGACCGGAAGACACTTATGAATTTTTATAGAGGAATACAGAGAGGCCATACGTACTGGCTCAAGAGAAGATATCTGGCTTCGAGCACACCTAATCAAAGTACCAAATCGTTAACCCGAAATGTACTTCATGCTCGGCAGTTCTTTTTGCACTCACAAATGTTGATTGATCTTGTCATGTCTATCCATGTATGTGCTATCCCACCTTTTCGGTAGAGAAGCACTCTGAGTTTCATTGGTAGTGGTTCATATCTTCGATCTAGTTGCTCTCAGTATCCTTCGCGCAAGATGAAAAACGGTCTCAGAATATGATACGTTATCGAATTATTACACTTCATTAAAAACGCCGGCCAAAATCTAACCAGAAAAATCGCGTCGCATTTTTTAGACACCTCGTGGAGTCGAGTTAGCTAACAGTCTTCTAAATTATACCTCATACGCAAGGTGACTGAGAAAGGATGGTCTCAGAAGGAAACCAGTAAGCGCAAAAGGACCATAATAGCAGCGGGGCAAACTTGTGGTAAGCGTTCGGAAAAGTAAAGGTTTGGCTTTGGCTAAGGCCACACACTCATGGGTGCAAATCAGTGTTAGTAAAACAAATGAAGTTTCTGTATCAATTCTGCGACCAAAAGAGTTCCAAATAACCACGATTTCAAACAAAGAACATCGAGTTTATCCGCTGAAAGAAATCTCGATGGAAACACCCAATTTTCTCAGGTGATTAGGGAGTGGAATGATTCGCAAGTTCACTAGACCTTCCATCTGAAAATTCTCTACGTAAGAAGTCAGTCAGCAAGCAATCGCGTGTTGCTAATTGTTTTACTGAACGACTATTGGTACCATGTTTTCTTCTGAAAACGAGTTAATCGTACTGTTGGTTAGTCACTGGTAGCCGAATGTCAGTGTATTCAGACAACAATCAGTAGTTAGCAGGGTCAACCTACTCTTCCTCAAGAGGACCGCAGGATGCGAACTGCTGGCAACCTCAGCAGGACTATTACGACTTCATAGAAGTCTTTCGATGTTCCACTCGCACTGCCTTTATTTATAGTACCAAACCAAAATCTCTATATCTGCTTGCACTAGAAGCAACCGAAAATTCTGCCCAATTTGGATTTTGGCCTTTTGCCATCGGATTTTGCTTTGCTACTGAAGTTAATCTAGGTTAAGAAGGTGAAGAAACCGTCATAATTTTTCATCACATATAAAGGTGATCTATAGTGATCTTTCCACGAGCAACTAGAGGCCTGTCATTCGATACTGGCTGGGACCGCCGTCAATGGCGTGCTTGAAATATGCGCATGCATCACTCCGTTTAATTTAAATACCGTCTATCACTAGTCCTCACTCACCCGTCACTGAATGAGACGGAGTTAAGCTGCCGATCAGCATGTCGCAGGTTCGAACCTGCCTCGAGATGCATGAAACGTGCACTGCTTATGATCCAGACAATGAAGAAAAGATTGAACAACGCAACTCATCTTCTCAATACTAATGAATTTTAACTGTGCGACAAAAGCTGCATTTCAGAATGAAATTTTCATGTACAGACCGTTTGAATCGCCGCCACAGGAAGTTGACGCGTCGAACTCTGCTTCATCAGCAGAAATTCAACCGTTCTTCCCAACACTCTTACAGGGCCACAAATGTTTACCGTTGCAATGCCAATCCTGGGACAAAGTGCGAATCTCAGGAATTTCGCCAGCTATAAAAGCCCTTGGGAGGCAATGATGTTCCAAGAGGTAGGTGTGATTTTTCGAAGACACTCCATTTCATTTACCGACACGCTCTGCGGAGATGCTATAGGCAGAGGCACTGTTAGAGTACAGTTTTTGTCATAAGTGCATTTTCTGTTATTACGAGGGCAACGTGTTACCATCGCAAAAACAAACGTGCTTCAGCAATTAAATCTTGAGCTTCATTAGCGGACAGGTGTTCAAAAGCTCATTTGGTTGTCAAATTGAGTTTCTTTAACAATTTTGCGCCCCTAGTTTTAGTGGCCCGAGGGATAAGTTCATAGTTGTCTTTTAGATCAACCGATTTTAATGATGCACAGTGGCCCTCAAAGTTGTTACCAGGCCCTGTCCTGATAATTTTTACGGATATTGGTTTCCAAAACAAAAGGAAAAAACGGTTACGACCTCTATCCTAACTCGGCCTTACGGTTACGACTCTATCCTAACTCGGCCTTAATAGGATGCCTTAAAGGATCTCAGGTGACCCAATTTTAGCGCTACTATCCGTTGAAAACAGAAACGTCCTGTATCATCTTTCCAGTGCTGCCTGGCCACACCACCTTTAGTTGCATTCTTAAACACATCGATGTCGCTGTTTTACACACCCTCTTCGGTCATTTAGAAGTGGTGTTGGTCTAGGTTGACTGCCCACCATCGTGTTGGCTTTTTCTTGCTCCATCGTCTCAACCTACCCCTTAAAATAGTTCACTCGTGACCGTCATGAGGAGAGCAGGTTATATGAGAATACTTCTGAGATGTCTTCATCTGAGAGACCATTTGCTGGTGCACTGTACGGTAATCAGCAAAATCGTAAACTGCAGTTGGGATTTCTTTGGAAAACAAAATGGAATCGAAGAAAAAGTGGTTAGCAGATCATGAACTCATAACTTCAGTAACAATGAAAAGTACACACCCGAGAATATACTCGAATCACCGAACTCCTGCGTACCGATAGTTGTAGATAACACTTTCTAGAAATTTGAAATTGACCCGTATTTTTGGGTCATAGTTGCTTTGTAGAGATTGCGTTGTCCAAGTTTTCACACTCCTTCAGTGGCTAAAAAATGCCATACGTATAAGCAACCCACAATTCTATTATTCTTGGATTTTCAAAGCGCATTCGATTCGGTGGATCGGTCTGTTCTCCTTGACAAGCTTGCTCACCGAGGAACGCCCCGAAAAGTTCGTGAACATAATAAGGCCTTTCTATTTTCACACTTCCGGACTTGTGAATTTAAATCTCAACTGGTGTGTTGTCATTGTATGGCTGTGAGATTTGGCCTGTTCAAGCAGCGGAACGACAATAAAGTCAGCAGATATTAAGTATACAGAGAATGTGGTAAATCCAGAAAGGAGAAGTTTAGCTATACAAAGCGTGGACGTTCTGTAGAAGTCAATCATATAGTTCACTAGTGACATCAGCTGTTTGACTGTTTACCTGTGTGTATGTCCGTCTGGGTGCCCATCTATCTATCTATCTATCTATCTATCTATCTATCTAGCTATCTATTTATGTGCGGCTAGCTCCCGTTTGGAGTGATCAAATGCTAAAATGAAACTTGGTGCCCAAACGAATTAACATCTGCTGATGATGCACGCACTTTGATTTAGTTTTATGCATGAATGTTGAGTGAATTTGCTGTCCTCTAAATCGTTCACTGTGGCTTAGCAAAGAAATGACAGTCCGCAGATTACAGACAGGACTTATCGCCTCGCTTGAATGCTGACGTCAAATTTTCTCTTGAGGTAACCTGAAGTCAAAATTTGCTTTAGCTTGCATCGCAACAGTGCTAGAAAATCGTTGCCGCAGTTACCTGGTGTCGGAGAAACTGGATGATGGAGCTTTACGCTTAAAAATACAAACGTTTACACAACAGGCGAAGCAGAAAACTCAAAAGGAGCCGTAGGAATCGTTGAGTTATGATGTAAGTTATCAAATGGGTTGGAATGTCAACAACTTCTGTGGAAAATGTTACCTACCGGGAACTCATCCTGATATCTCAGCTCAGAAACGGATAGCTGACGCACAGTGCGGCTCATCCGCTTACAGCTTCTCGGGTATTGCGGACAAGGGGCCGCATGCTGGTTGTGTGAGGTGTTCCTACGAAGAACCCAACCCTATGTGAATAATGAAAATTGGACCGTTTTCTTACTTATTACATGGCGTAGTATAATAAGAGGTTATAATCCGACATTTTGGCCCCCCGAGCAACCGAGGATTCTTAAAGCCAGTGGTGTTGTGTTCAAATTTTACGCGGTATGTCGCAGACTTAAAATACTCCCGTGTTTTCCTGAGGTGTAAACTGGTGACATTTTTAAGAAAGAGAAAATTTAATTACCTTCATGATTTGACTTTTACCTCCGTCACAAAACATAATCAACGCTGTGTAGCTTACCCCCTAATAATAATGTATAATTCTGGAGGGTGGTGGATTCATTATTCATTAGTGGGAGCGGAATGACAGTGGAAATGGGGGGTTCCAAATAGATACGACCGACACTATTCACAAACTTACTTTCTAATTTTAGTGTGTCAAGAACAAGAAGCTGATTCACCGCCTGAAGCCGGGCGATAAGTTTAACGCTATATTGTTTTACTGACTACAAGGAACAATGTAACGAACGGTCATTTGAGTTATTTACGTTTACAGCTTTCCGACAAACTACGCGACAGAGCCAAAGATCTAACAGTTACAGCAGAGGAATTACTGGAGTTCGATACGCTCTCTGTGGTCCAGGCTTCTATGACCATGGTGTCTACCCTTCCTGCCACTTCATTGGATCACAACGAATACTGGAATTTACCTTTGAAGAGCGTGATTGATTTGATCGGAAATCCTGGTGTGTGTGAAGCAAACTTCAAGTTGCCGATCTATGTTGACCTTGGTGAGCTATGTTCAGTGTTGAACCCTGTGATCTTAGTAATAATCCACCCGGGTGCGCATCGATGTCTCCTAAGATTGCAACAAAAGGTTTGGGCGTCAAACGTTAAGCGCGATGAACGAATCAACAAACACTTGATTAACCGCCTTAAACTAACCTTCTTCGTGATTCTTCGTAGATTCAGGTCAGCGTAAAGTTTAGTCTGACATGCACATGTTGGCCTCGACTGGAGCAAGTGGAGGTCAGTCGCTCTATGGAGGGAACTACTGAAAAGGTTGGTAACTCTCCATATTCATCCGCGAAGAAAAATTAGTCGATGGGTAACTCGTTTTTTCCCCGGATGGCCGATAACCAACAGACCTAATAAGCAGAGCAAATCCACATGTGTGAAAATCCACAACAAAAACTGGACTGATAGGCTCTTTGGAGGCCATTGAAAAGGGGTTTCATTGTTAAAAGATAGGGTGATAAGTAATTTTATTACCAGTACATGGTATTTTGGGAACAGTACTGGAAAGTCGCTACGGTCGATTCCTGAGTTTACTTTATCTCCAGTTCACCAGACTGGCATATTCTCCGAGTCCTTGCCTGAGACTCCATCAAGTTACGTTTGCTGTTGATAGGAGAAAAAACCCGTATGTTACATGCAGAATAAAATTGTTTCCTTGGTGCTCTTCGCACCACTTGCGTAACGGAATCATATCCTAAAAATGAGGTAGTCTAAAACCGGTATAAATCGCCCGTTTATAGCATTTGTGCACGGTTGGCTTTCAATCATTCGATTCAATTTAAAAGTCTGTCTGTGGACCGAGTCGTAACTTTATGGGGACACTACCGCTAAATTTCACCATGTAAACAAAATAACTCAGTTACGTCATTATGTCTTTTGCGTCGCAAAGGACATCTTCCGTGAATGCCAGAATGTTTACCAATGATGAATATGTTTCGGACAATGAAGAGTGAGTGGGAGGAGCCACGTAAAAGAACTTCACTTCAGTTTTAAATTGTCGCTTGTACAAGGAATTTTGCCAAAGTCTTTGGTAAGGATGACTGAAATTTTAGTGGCGACAGAATATGCCACTCTATATCTTATCTTGCAATCGCCAGATGTTACTATTTACATGAAGTACTAACAGAAAACCTGACTAGGCTGCAGGGTGGAATTAGTAACTCGTTGCTGTAGAAACCGAGAAACCAAAACTTCTATTGTCCGGAGTGAGCGTTCATTAGACTGAAAAATGTGTCACCCTCACAACTACATTTCAAGTCTGCTTAGTTTTTTCACAGAAATATTGTTCACTAAAACGCACTACATGAGCTGATTCAGGAGACTCGCGATTTAAGCGACGAACAGAACAGTTCCATCAGACAGGTTGCTAGTCACAAGCACAACCAAAGGAAACCCGATAACTAGCGAACTTTCATATGTAACCCCATCCTGCTCTTTCGTTGCGATATATCCAAGTGAAAATTTGGTGCAGATTTAGCTATTGGAGAAATGGTCTCAAGTCATGTACAAACAGGGTTTCTAATATCGGAGGAATCGCACCGACAGAAATTCCACCATTCTCTATATGGTGGACCAGGAAACCTAAGTCCATGATGAGGGTGTTTCCACTGTTACCTTGCCCTCTGGGTACCGCACAGCCATTTTGGCACCAAAAATTGCCTCCTGAGATGCTCAGACTGGCTCCAACTCCTCAATGGACTGCACAGAAAATGACCATGTAGCGTACTGACCGTACCACCGAGGAGAAAGTTTGAATTTGCGGGATTTTCGTAGGCCGGAAGGACAATCCACGGATCGTGTGCCATAAAATAGTCAAGCGAAATCTGAAACCACTTGAAAAATAAGGTGGCGCTAACGGATGAGGGTTTTTCCACTGTTACCTTGCCCTCTGGGTACCGCACAGCCATTTTGGCACCAAAAATTGCCTCCTGAGATGCTCAGACTGGCTCCAACTCCTCAATGGACTGCACAGAAAATGACCATGTAGCGTACTGACCGTATCACCGAGGAGAAAGTTTGAATTTGCGGGATTTTCGTAGGCCGGAAGGACAATCCACGGATCGTGTGCCATAAAATAGTCAAGCGAAATCTGAAACCACTTGAAAAATAAGGTGGCGCTAACGAAACTGAATGTTCTGCGCAAACGCAGCTGCATGGTCCCGTTGGTAGCATGGTACTACTTATGGGCCCGCTTGAACAGTGAATTGTTTGGGCACATCAGATGGGTCACAAATAAACATTCATTTACCAACTAAGTTGGAGTCGCCATCAGTTGGGCCAGTTATCAGAGGAAAAATGGAGGAAAAAGTGGACAGCCAATCTAATTTATAAATAATATCAAAATTGAAGTGAAATTACAAGTTTAGGTCGAATGGGTACCTGAATTGGGGTTCTATTCGACTGGTTTCCGGGTAGCGCGAAATTTGGACAGATCGTTCATTCAAGCATTCCACGCATGACTTTCCACAATCGCTTACTGTGTGTGATCAGCCACGTTCACTATACCAATGGAGGCAGCAAACATGGACCCAAGATAGTGTTTCGACAGCAAAATTAGGTAGGCCACCGGGAGTAGATTCAACTCCCCTTTGAATACGAGAACTGAAAGGCATGTGTATTCCGATGGACACTTGTTTATTTCCAAACCTAGCGTCCATTGGATGAATCAAACAGTAAACTCCAGAAATTATTAATTATTAGCAAAGGAAAGGATGCTTTAGGTCTTCATTAATGATACCGCACGAAGACTGAGGGGAACGCAGAAGCATAACGAGTCTTGCGATGGACAGTGATTTCGGTCAAGGTCGCCTAAATATCACAGTAAAAATATGTTGTAGTTGGAACAGATAATTTTTAGTGGAAGCGCCGTTTCCCAAAGTATGTCGATGTTGCTTTGACAAATGTTTATCCGGCAAACCGTTTGAAACGTTTGCGGAATTTCGACCATATTCCTAATAGGGGAGAATATCCGAAGGCCAAAATACTAGGTTCAATACTGTGTTGTTGTGCATTTCTTGAGTCTTGGGGTGAAAGTATAAATCCAAAAGAAACTATGGGGAATTTGCACTCACCGCTCTAATTCCGACATTAAGGGTGGGTGATTCTGGCGAAATATCGTTTCAGCTCGAGCAAATTGTCAACACCGAGTCTTTTTTGGCATTTGGGGTTAGGTTTCGTTAAAGAAAAGATGTCTCGCCTAAACAATATTTTTATTATGCATAGGGAATTCAAATTTAAATCGACAGAAGGACCTCCTCTGACTTTTGATTGCATTTCGAGACATATGATCGTGATCGCAAATAATGACCACTTTTTCCGAATATATTTTAACTCGATAAATAATCCCATCGATTCAAAAGTCATATTCTGCAAGCACTTGTCACGGTCTCATTATTTTCCTTTTCGAAACAAGGAAGGGTATATCCCCGGAATTTCAGATGACTTCTAGCAGGATGTTGAGGCGTTTGATCAGTTTCGCACCTTGGATAACACCAACAACAGTTCATCCATTTCGAATGCCACGTTACTTGTGGGCCTATCAGAGCTGACAGTTGAAGGAATGGTCTGTTATTCTGCAATCCAACCCCACATGACGAGCTTCAAAGAAAGCAAAACGGGCAGTGGGGCCTTTGTGAATCGTGAGCAGTCCACTCAAAATATTCATACAAAAAAGCCACCCTACTGAACTTGTTTGTGACCAACCTTTGAGAGAGATTTGTGTTGCTCATTACAGGGACAAACATCAATATATCACAGACTACTGGAAATGCCGCCACGTCCAGCTTCAGTAACCTGTGTAACTTTGTGCACTAATCAGCTGATCTTAAGCGGCAGGCGGGACTCTTTTTTACCCTACCGGAATTTTGCGTCTCCTACTTATAAAAATCGGGCTGAAACTGTCAGAAAGCTACGAAACACATTTGATTTTTGTTTTCTCTGGTACTCTCGATTATTTTCTGTAAGCTTTAGGCACCACTGAGTTTCATGTCATTGCCCAGTTAGGAATGACGAATGGTTGATAAACACATGTCCTATGCCACGATACGGTAATCATCCCCCACAAAACTTGTTTAGCTTTGATGCTGATCGATAGCTTCCACCTCAGTAACCCAGATGATTTGTATACCGGAGTGATGTCTTCCAGCCGTCAGTAATAAACTGATTTACTTGTCGCCAAATAAGTATTTTCAAAATCAGTCCGACGTACCTTATAGGGATTAGTTCCTATATAGCCATGGGTTTGGAAAACAGCGTACTTTTAGTAACAGTATGTGCACTGTACGATTTTCAAGTGCTTAGACAAAGATAACCTTTTATGTGGGCAACCCATCCGCAGGAGAACGATCGTTTTGGAAGTGTACAGCGCGCTTAAGCTATGATGAAAAACGAGCCGATTAAACCACGAATTTCAGATGATTATCTGATCAGGAGAGTACTCGGAGTATTGTGGCCCAATATTGCAAGCTGAATGAGTTCACCTCAGTTAAGTCGCCCCAATTATTTCTCCCAAACTGTTTTTGTTAAACCTCAAAACTCTAAGAAGAACGGCGCCCCTGGTCAATTTTCCTGGATAGAGCGTTGCCGCTCATCCAGAAGGCGAACTACTCTATAAATCTTATGCCAGCAGTTCTCATGGAACAAAATCACTGTTCAATCGTTTAACCTACATGCATCTCACCAAAAAACGTTGTTCGGTATGCTTGTTCGTTTACCAGTATTTCTTTATTGTTTTGTTATGCAAAGCAAATTGATAATATTCCTTTCGCTATTCCTGCAAAACAGATCAATCCGAATACATCAGTAAGTGATATGTCCACTCTATCAAAATATTACTGGTTCTTCCTACAGTGATCGTGTAACTGCTTGACTGTTATATTTTTGACAGATTACTAGAAAAACCAAAGCGATAACACAGGTTTGTATGAATGTATAAGGAAACCGCGTATACTTTTGGACGAATCTGGCCATATAAAATATATGAACTAAAATCGAACAATGCTTATTAGCTTTTTTTCAACAGAATCCTAACAGAAACCTGACGAAATGATCCCCTTATCCTTAAGCCAATGCAAAAAGGACGCGTGACGCCTCGAAAACTGGCAGTAGTATATACCGTGCAAAGTGGTAGTTAATTAAAAAGTCTACAAGATTGATGTTGGACTGAATGATGTCGTTTCGTTC